CAACGACTTCACGTCTACACTCGAACCAGTTATCGTCGGAAGCAAAATCGAGCAAATCCGGGCGCTGTTCAGGTGTGACTGCAAGAAGTTCTGGGCCAACGGATGGATCTGCTCGCATGTCGTAGCGGCGATGGCACGAAAGAAGCAGTTCGTCTTGAGTGTGGTCATGGCAACTTTGCCGACAACTATGCTGAGCGGAGGACAGCGCAAGATTCCAGGCGTATTGTACGCTGATGATCCGAACAACCGTACGCTCACAGTGCCCTCACTGATCAGGCGTATGATGAAGCAGCCTCATTTTTATTACCCCCACGGATGGAAGATTGCAAAAGAGATGACCATGGAGATCAACGGGGAAGAGGAGGAACTGTTTGCAGTGGGGAAAATCCGATCTTACTCGCAAAACGGAGGCATCTACAAATGGCTGGTCGTCTTCGAACATGGCGTCAACGAGTTTTTCGAATGCGAAGAACTCGCACAGCTCATCGTGTCTTCTAGGCAATCGGGGCTGGATGTTGCTTGCAGTGCCGTACCGAGACACCCCCCCGGTCGCCACTACAGAGGTCATCACCGAGGAGAACTGACACATAAGTGTCTGAGTGCAACTCCAGACAGTGAATACGTGCTCTCAATTCATATTGCACATCATTCGTAAGTGAGGCAAGGAGCTAGATGTAGCTACACAGTGAACTAGAACTTCAAAAACGACAACAAAAATCAATTTTATTGCCTCCAACTCATTTGATTTCCCATCTTCTTAACCTCAGTGAGCCTGGACGTAGGATAAAAGAAAGGATCAAAAGTTTAGCTCTCGTTACTGAAATGACTGCTGGCAAATACGAGTATCTAAACGTAGACACACAAAACCTACTCTTTCCTCTGTAAGATGCAAGTGTCCACTTGGTGTCTCTCATTGTCCATCAGTTCGAAAATGCCGCCTGAAAAGTGTCTCTAAAACCTTATCAAAAATCCAGATTTATCCTATCCGCTAGGATAAAAATGGGCTTCAGACTTGAGTTGAGTATCGCTCTGAATACCTCTAGAAGCTTATTCGTTTTGTCAAAAGCGACACCACAGATAAGATTGGAAATGCCTCCCTTTACAAACGCCAAGTCACTTTTTATCCTCGCTAGGATAAAACGTCCTATGTATGCCACATCAACAACGGATTTGATCCTTTTTCGTAGGATAAATTTCACTGGGGTTAAGCTTCAGCGTCAAGCTCTTGTCTTGATCTTCGCGGATCCATGCCCGGCACAGCGATAGACTCCTCTCAACACCTTCGAGTGCGCTGCAATCAGCAGCCAGATGCAGATACGCCGCATAAACCATGACATGTGTCAGTTCGCTCGCTACCCCACATACTTGGCATGCCCAAACCGGCGTCTTTTACTACCAGTGCAACAGCGCTTCGGTCTAGAAGGATCTCCTGCACGGCATCACTTTTGGTGACCGTGTTCTTCTCTCGGCCGCACACGAAGGAAGATGATGCGGTGATGCTACTGGCAAATTGGGCCACGCTTGACAAACTTCTGAACAAAGCCTGGAGGCCGGAAAGATTGCCTAGAAGACACGATGAGCTGTGCGAGTTCTTCGCATTCGAAAAACTCGTTGACGCCATGTTCGAAGACGACCAGCCATTTGTAGATGCCTCCGTTTTGCGAGTAAGATCGGATTTTCCCCACTGCAAACAGTTCCTCCTCTTCCCCGTTGATCTCCATGGTCATCTCTTTTGCAATCTTCCATCCGTGGGGGTAATAAAAATGAGGCTGCTTCATCATACGCCTGATCAGTGAGGGCACTGTGAGCGTACGGTTGTTCGGATCATCAGCGTACAATACGCCTGGAATCTTGCGCTGTCCTCCGCTCAGCATAGTTGTCGGCAAAGTTGCCATGACCACACTCAAGACGAACTGCTTCTTTCGTGCCATCGCCGCTACGACATGCGAGCAGATCCATCCGTTGGCCCAGAACTTCTTGCAGTCACACCTGAACAGCGCCCGGATTTGCTCGATTTTGCTTCCGACGATAACTGGTTCGAGTGTAGACGTGAAGTCGTTGACCGCTGATACATCAAGTACCTCCACTTCGTGCAGCGACAAATAGTGGAGATTGATGTCACGCACTGTGTGCTCGTCAGGAAGCTTCCCTTGTTTTGCAGCGATGTTACATTTTCACGCGATCATTGTTGACTTCGGTGGCGGGTCCGTCTTTCGACTCCATGTATTAGTTGGATGCGTTGAAAAGATACGAAGTGATGCGTCATTTGTGGCCCACGGCTTCACGTTTCTCGTAGAAACTCCCATCCGCGGTATGTTGCTGCGCTCTGTGGATTATCTCGCTTGGTATCGGTCCTTCACAATAGTGCCCGATGCTGCGTCGCCGCTCACGAGATCGAGAATCCCGGGGATAGAATCGTTCAAGGCCACACCCGTCTTGGCCCTCTTTGCGGTCACTCCACAGGTCTTAATCACTCGGTTATGGGCTTCTAGCGGGTTTTGGGAGGGCACGACACCTGGAATACGCTTGTAGCATACCATCGAGTCCAGTCGTCTTCAAGGCAGACCTTGGTGAACCAATCAACGTCTTCATCTACAACGCCACTGTGCATGCACAGGCGACTCAGATTTACTTGGTGCATCCGCCGATGCGAACTTCGCACCACGCTATTTCCCACCGTTTGGTGCGTAAAAAATCGAATACTCGGAAAACGACAAAAACCACTCGAAAAGCAACTCGACCCCCTTGGTCGTTTCTTGGCTTCGCCCTCTGCAATCGTCTCGCCCCCTTCTTGCTGCTTCTTAATCACCTTCCACAACCGCTCTACGTCCTGCATGGTGAGCGCGGTGCTGTTGCGGATCACGAGCTCGTCGTCGAAGCCGAAAGTCTTGCACCTCAGCTCCACCTTGCGCTGCTCGCCGTCTAGACCCAGCAGTCGCCCATTGTGTTCTGCATGACCAGGGGCTGGTTACTGACAATCTTGTTCTGCGCGTTCAGAGCTCGAGCCAGCCAAGCCAGATCGGTCACATCGGGCACGCTTGGATCACCTTGCGAAACACCACTGCCGACGGGTAGAGAGCTTTGCAATGGGCAAAGAGTGTTTCGCGATAACGTCCAAGTCGTCGAAGGGCACGGACGTCTGCGGGTCGTAGAGGATCGACATCTCCTTCGCACCCCACATGATCTTGTGCTCGCCAGCGCCGTTAGCAGCGTCTCCAGGAGGTGTGCAGCTGACCTTGTGGTCCTTCCAGTGGCCTCGCTAGCATTACGCGTCGCAGTAGAAGGTGCACTTGCATCGTGTGCAGCGCTTGAGCTCCTTGCCGGGGGCAGCGCGTTTGCCGCACTTGGCACAACGACGCAGCTCCGGGTTCTCTCCATGAGTGCAAGCTTCTCGCCAGGAGGCAGCACGCGGCGCTCGAGATCAGCGCGCGTGTAAAAAAAAAAAACGGCGTCAAGCAGCGGATATTGTCGCCACCTTCGCCGTTCAGTTCACTGCCCGTGTGCGCGCTGATGGCGAACGAGAAGACAGTGCCTCGGCCAACCTGGCGACGCGCATCCAGCCGCAGCTCGCCCTCCCCACAGCGTCCACCTGAATGGCCTGGCGTTCGGCGAGAGGCAGTTCCACGGCTTCAGTTTGGCGTATTTATCGCAGGCCGAGTAGAAGGCGGACAGTGCCTCAGTCGTGACTCCAGCGCCCGAAACCAGTCCAGGACGCTCGCTCACTTCCACCACGGACACAAGGTCCTTCCAAATCAAGTGCTGCGAGAGCTCCTAAGAAATAAGTAACAAAACACAGCGTCAGCATCAGTACAGCCCCCACCGACTTGCAATCCAGACCAAAAACGTACTGAAAATGAGCATCGATGCCGTCCGAATCGGAGAGGTACGAGCACTCGATCCCCAATGCCGAGTAGCTCTTCCGCAGTTGCCCCCACAAAGTTCTTGTCCGGGAACACGACCTTGTCAGGGCGGTGCTAGGGCGTGCTGGTGGGCGGGTCCAGCATGGCCTGCAGCGTGTCCAGCACGGTCTGCGGCGACGGATATACCTCCGGCGGGTCGCAGATCTTCTTGGAGACCACCTGCCCCAGCGGGTACAGGTTGTTCACCAGAATGCAGTACGGGCGGCAGGGCACGGCGTCTTGTCCCTCCTCGGCGCCGGCGCTGGACGCCGACCACAGCGCACCACCACCTGCCACACCTCCAACTGCTTCTTCTCCAACTTGCGGTAGCGCTCCACCTGCTTGGCCGTCAGCAGCATCTCCGTGCTCACCACAATGTCGGCTACAAACAGCAGCAGCAACCGATACAGTCAGCCCTGTTGAAATGCATTGATACATGGCTACATTGGACGAACCATCGCCTTCCACCTCGAATTGGGTAGGCCACGGGGCACATCTTCACCTTCAGAGTCCGAGTCATCCTGTAAGAGCAGTAGCAACGGCAGGGGGCAGAAGGAACGTCAAAACCGAGGAATAAAGGTCAGAATTTGATAGTCGAGGGGGAATTTCGACTTTTACTAGCGATCTACAGCGCTCCAGACGACCACAACGGCACGACTGGCACCGCCAGGCGGTGGAGAAGCTGATGGAGAAACTGACACGCACCTGGAAGTTGTTCCACTTCTCGTACTTCATCGTCAAGAACTGCTCGGACGTCGCCATCGTCGTCGCCGGTTTCTAGAAGAGGGAATTGGGTAATGAGACTAAAAGTGTAGCCATAGAGGACTATTTCTGAGCCAGACTATCTTGGGATCAGATTTGTGCTCTTGATCGCAGTTCCGTCACTTTGCATCCAAGTGTATCATGGAGAACCCTGTGCTTGGCCCGGCAAAAAACTTGTAACTTTCCAAAACCGGGTACCAAACCGGGTCTCCTATTTTTATTTCAAATTTTATAGCTTAATATCTGCCAGAAGAGGGTACCTGCCGATAACTGCTAATGTTTACGCTGACCGGGCTTGTTATTTACCAAACGTCGGTTCATATTCACAAAAAAGTGTACTCACATTTACCAAACGTTGCGATGTATCGGTTCATATTCACAAAAAAGTGTACACACATATCAAACAACTTTATTTTACATTCAGTGGGTATAAATAACTTATCTCACTTCAACCGAGCTTACTGAAGATGCCCAACACCGTATCTCTCTCACCAAACGTGGAGTGCCTAGTAGGCATTGCGTTGCCTACTGCATTCAGCTCAAGCACGATCAACGCTTTGTTCTCGGGCACGCTCAAACCCTGGTAGTACAACTACGATGTATCAGCGAGGTGGCACAAACTGTTTTTTTAGTCAAGAATCTCAAATCATAGGCTTAAACGTCTGGGCGTGCTTGAACAGGGATCCAGCTCGCCCTTGCCGCGAGTGGGCGTCTGACGCCCTGCAACCGCGCAGTGCTCACGAGCAACTCCAATTCCGATGCGCGCAAGTACAGAGCTTTAACCGGCAACTATATATCTTCTGAATCAGGAGTCCTGATCCCGGAAAACTTGCCGTGGGACGTGGCTGCACCGCTATGAGCTAAATTAGCGATGCCCTCGCGCTTGCAAGCTGCATGTATGACATGTCTGAGGTAGATGTATCTATCTTTCTCATGGTATATCTACAAACAATGATCTATTTACCACTACGTCGACATACAACGGTCTATTTACAATATGGTCTATTTACCACTACGTCGACATAGTGACCTTGACACCGCCAATTGGTTTGTAACTACCAACTGCCCCAGCCAGGAAACATGTCGAGTTCAAGCGGTTTATCTGCCTTCTATCATTGTTGTCACTTAGCCAGTAGTTAACGACTACTTAGGGCTGATACGAATACCGCTAGCGAAAGGACCACGAAAAGCTGTAAAATCACGCCAATTGGCAAGACACTCCGACGCAGAGCTTCAGAGGGCAGATGTTCCGCAGCACCTTACCAGCAGTTTGGATCACAAAATGAAGACCAGCAGCAGCTACAAGGGATTACAGGACTATTATTCTGGGATAGCACTAAAGCTGCTAGCGCAGCCCACATCCGATTATTTGAAGCCGATCAGATGAAGCCTCCCGTTGAAGTTTACACTTCAACTATACTGAATACTTCAGACTCAGATCTTAAGATACTTGAATGGGTAGTATTGAAGTTCTCAAGGTCAGAATCGCTCAAACTTAAAAAGCACCCAACACCACCATTCATTCCTGAATTTGCCGATTCCGCGACCTGCAGTAGAAAAAAGAAGACGGTGAGCTGCGCTCGCCTATCGAGCGCGTTCTAGACGTACTGAAGTCGATGCGTGCCCCAGTCTTCTCGTTGCTAGAGCGAGGACAAGGTGCCGACCGCTAAAAGTTACTTTGACCCCAAGAAGGTTGCTTAACTTTTTTTTAATTATTTTCTTTTTTGCACATAGTTTCTGGCGTTAAGACACAGCAACATGCATTACCCAACGACCTGGCGCGCTGTGAGAAGTGCTGCAGTAGTTGGAGGTCTTCAACGTTTCAGATCACTTCACTGTTCATTGGTGAGAGATGAGACCTATCGATAGATTATTGTGGAACTAACACTTTTTTGGTTGTGTAATCTATTGACTTTGACGCTGCAGGCGATTGCTTAGCCACAGTCGCCAAAAAACCCTCGGAGCCTCTCTGGCGCACAGCAGAATCCTTTTTTTTTCAGGCTGCCGGTGCGCGGTTGCCATAGCTGCTGCTTTCGAGCAAAACGAGCGCAACAGGAGCTTAGGGACATCACCAGGCTCGGGAGAGTGGAGAACCTGGTGCTGACGCTGTGGACGCAGCGCGAGGAGCTTTGCTGGCCGCCCACGCCGCCGCCAGCGACCGCGAGGACGCGCAGCAGCAGCTGGCGCAGCCACTCAAGACGCTGTCGGAGGAGCTGGAGCTCGTGGCGGCCGCTGCGACGACCGTGCCGCTCGCCGCCGCGCTGACCCCGGACTTCTATGCAAGCTACCTGCTCATTGTGCTGCTGGCGAAGAAAATGTGCGTGAGCAACATGGCTACAAAATGGCGGACTGGCAGACTGAAAAAATCCTACATGTAGTCTTTCTTCGTACAGGAATGACACGCGGTTCCTGTGGAAGCGCATCGCGCGGAGAACTCCGAGGAGCTCCCGTGCTGTGTGGGAGATCGGCAAGGCGCTGTGGCAGCGTTGGAGTTGCTGACGATTGCTTGCGGATTATGCGGACAGGAACCTGGCTGCGCAGCGTATAATATGCCGCAATGAACTACGACTGGTCTCCGTCGCTGCAAAGGACTGATCGAGGCTCTGAAGAGTGCGTGCACTTCTTCTTCTCATTGAATTGTTGTGTTAAAGTTGATGCTGGCCTGACCCTTGTTGTTGCATTGTTGTGGTTATTGTATAGCTGCCACCCGCGAGGGCACTGCAGAGCTGCTGAGTCTTGCGTATTCGACAATTTCGGTCAGCGACGCCGCGCTGGGCTTAGCTCGGCACGAAGACGCGATGCAGTGTACGTAGCCATTGGAGGCAATCACGTTGGTGAGAGTATCGAGCAGTTGCTGCTTTGTCGCAATAGACTGCTCGTCGCTGAACTGGGAGGTGAATGCGGCGGACCAAATGATCCTGCCAGAACACGGTGTTCAAGCCGTGAGGTAGGCTCTGCAAGTCAAAACACCAGTGACGCCGAGTCCACCGTCAGCACGCGCAGTAGCAAGAGCAGCAAGAGCAACAGCAGCAGCTCGTCGTGGAAGCAGAAGCGGCGACGGCTCAAGACGGAGCAGCTCAGCAGCACGACCATGGCCATTGGGACCTCCGTCATCTCCAAAAGCTCCCCCAGTCTGGCAACTGGTCGTCTACATCCCCACCGTGCTCCTGTCCTCCTGCCGTGTTCGAGGCCGTATTGCCCTTGGTGCTCTTGGGCCAGCACGTGCCGCCTTGTAGTTCGTCCACGTCAAGGCTCCACAGCCTTACTTTTGCGAGCCACAGCGTGCTGAAGTCCGACATCTGCACGTTCGAGACGGACTTGATGCCGCCCGGCCAAGCGCCCACGGGGTTTGCAAGGTCGCGCAGATCGTGGGCGACGACCTGGCGGTGACGAATCCCATCGAGCAGAAGGCTTGCGACGCTTTCCTGCTGAAGGTGAACCAGATCGCCAGCAACACGGCGTCGATTGAGGCAGTGACGGTGGAGAAGAAGTCTGGCTAGACATGTTCATTGCTGACCTGGAGGAGTGTGGCCGCCGGTGTTAAGAAGGGCGCTCCGTGCCATGCTGAGCGTTTGGTCAAGTACAACCAGGCTCAGTCTATCGAGAAGGATCGCGACGATAAGACAACGCTAGTGGGAATGGAGAAGCTGGACAAGTACGCGACTTCTAGGCATGAACTCGTGCGTAGACAACTAAGTCTGGGCAAAGGTGTAGATACATGTCGAGGTGGTGCTGGTGGCCAGCTTCAGACCTTCAGAAGCAGCATCCCCATTAGTCCACAGTCGCTCACTGTGGCTGCCAAAGAGCAGCGCAGAGCTGAGTTGAGTCGTGTCGTGTCGCCTGTGGAT